GGGGGGGGGGGGGGGGGAGGGCAAGTGGGAGACAAGAGTAGGGAGAGGGTGGTCGCTGAATACAAAGCAGTAGAGCAATAGGAAAAATGGGACCTAGGGTTCTATGACAACATGGGGAGACTACAGTTAACAACAAAGTACCATGTATCTTTCAAGAGCTAGTGGAGATGATGTTGAATTGTTACTAACGCATAGAGGTGCCAGATGTTTGAGCTGATGGATACACTAATCACCCTGATATGATCACTGCACACAGTATGAATGTATCCAAATATATTGTACTCCATACAAGTACATAATTATCATGGGTCAATTAAGAAAAATAAATTAAAAAGAGAAAAAGAGGGAAATACATAGAGAACAGAATAGTGGTTACCTGAGGCAGGGAAAGGGAGGGAGGAAGGGGGCTGGGGAAGGCTGGGGACTGGCACAGCTACAGTCAGACAGGAGGAGCAAGTGCTGGTGCTCTGGGGTAGTAACAGCTAATAATATTGTACTGCATATTTCAAGAGAGCCGGAAAGAAGGATCTTGAGTGTTATAACCACAAAGAAACGATAAGTGTTTAGGTGATAGATATACTGACTATTCTGATTAGATCGTTATACAATATATGCATGTATTGAAACAAACTATACCCCATAAACATGTACAATGAAGAAAAAATTTTTTAAATAAAAATAAAGGCAAAGCACATTCTAAAGTTATGTCTGCCACTTTGGTAGGAAAACAAAGTGAACTGTTACTGTCTAAAGTTAAAGCAATCTGGTTCATTTAAACCAACTGAACCATTTATATTGAGATTATATGAAAAAGAAATTAGCTTCTAGGCAAAAGAAAAAAAAGGATAAAACTATTCAATAACATAACCAGAAAGGTAAGAATTTAGTTTCTGAGTTTGTAATACAAACGCTTCCTTCAGGGCTGCCCGGTAACTCATGTGAATAATTAACTCAGTCTTCACTTAGCCATCCTAAATCCCTCATTTTAAAATTTATCTCAGAGAAGACAAAACACATATTAAGGGTATACTTACATAACTCTTAATCATCCACTAAAGCCTTTTCTTCTCTAGGCTAAACAAAGCTTTACCAATCATTTTTTTCTGTTTTTTTGCTGTCCTTCCAGAAAGCTTTCCATGGAAGCAGTGTTTGGGACCAGGGGTAAAACATGGTAGGTTAAATGTGTGGACTCCAAGTTAGACCAACGTGAATCTGAACCCCACCCTGCCTCAGTTTCCTCAATAAACTGGGGGTCATAACAGTGTGGACTTCATAGGATTGCTAGGAAGATGAAATTTGATAATATATATAGTGCTTGGTCCAGAACCTGAAACCAAGTAAGTGGTTAACAACTATACATTATAATGTTCCAGGCCATGTGGATCTCATCCAATACAGAGGACAACAGGAGCTTCTTTAGAATTAGGAGCATCCAGTTAAACATTTTAAAAAATTGTTTCTTCTTTTTTCACTTAACCTGATTTCCGATTTCTCTCTATTTCCTATTTCTTTTTAATGTAATACACAATGCTTTTTGAAACAGCATTAAAATGAACTTAAAAATGAACTTCCAGAAATGTGGTATAAATAAACAGTGGAATACTACTCAGCCATAAAAAAGAATAAAATTCTGCTATTCACAGAAGTGTGGATGAGCTTGGAGAAAATTATGTTAAGTGAAATAAGCACTTCCTTACTATTTTAGTTTTGAGTTACTGATGAACAAGTTTGAATATGTGAATTATTGGAATATTTATTCATTTAACCACTTTACATAACCCCTGAGGTCACAGTAGATATCTATGATTTCATCACATAGCAAAGACATTAAATACTTTGTCATATCTGCCCGAATTGTTTAAAAATATTTTCATCTCCCTTGTTCGGTTCTGATGGTTCCACTTTCAAACTTAAGAGTATCTGTTGACCTTTTACTTTATAATTTTTCTACACTTCATCCCTCCACTCTTGCAACAACCACTGTTTTTATTTATATTTCTATGAGTCTTTCAGAGTTGGGTAGAATAAGATTCTTGTTTTATGCTTAGATTTTCCACACGAATTTTAGACTCTGAAAGCTCTTAATTGTCATCGTTACTATGTTATGGGGGAGCATGCGGAAGAGCTCACTCCCAGCTGAACATCAAAATTACCTGGGAAGTTAAAAAAAACAACAAAAAATGCCAATCCTCCGGCCCCACTCCGGACCAATGAAATCAGAATCTCTTCCTAAACAGCATGATATTTTGCATTTTCCCCAAACAATAACAAAACTCCCAAAGTGATTTAATGTTCAGCCCTGGCTGAAGTACACTGAGTGCAAGGCACCTTTCTTTGTACTTTCCAGTATTTGAATGTACTTTCTTAAAAAAACGAGTGTGTATCACTCATAGACACCTACAACGGACACAATTCCTAAGCCATCAGACATGAGCTCTAAATTGAACCTGATGCTTAGCTTCAAGAAAAAGCTATCCACTTCCCTACAACCAACCTAAGAATTATCAGGGCAACACTCAGGGAGCGTTGTAGGCAAAAGAACAATTCTTTCTCTTCTTGTCTACGTGTCTTGGTGAGAAAATAAACCAAATAAAGTACCCTTCCAACAGTGCTGGGGTAAATGTGCTGTTTGTACATTAGACCTTTATTTCATTCCCAAATATTTAATGTCTGGTACTTAACCTCTGTTCATGAGTTATCTTTGTGCCGGGCATACTTTTCAACACATATTCTAGAGCATTTTCCTTTTCAAGCAGACGTTGAGGCCTCAAATCAGATGAGTACGAGGTTCAGCAGGCAGCCGAGCAACCCAACGCGGGCTCCAGGCGGACGACAACGCTGGCCGCGCTCCCGACGCAGCTCCCGGGAGGCCCGGGGCAGCGCTCAGGGGTGCCAGCCTGCTCTCCCTCAGCACACAAAGTGACTACTCACAACCACCTTCTTCCTGAAACACACGAGTTCCTGGCAGGTGAGGGAGGCCGGCGGCGGGCTCTTCAGACCTGTCGTCCCCGCCTCCGCCCGCAGAGAAGGGCCGGGCGAGGAGCGAGACGGTCCTCCCTGAGCACTACGCAACGGTGTTGCCGGCACCTGGCCGACCACGCCGCCCCCTGGGGAGGAGCTCGTGTCAATGGTGCTACGGTGTCCAGAGGGCCCCGCAAGTGAGGCGGCCCCGGACGAGGCCGAGCGGCAGTGTCACGGCAGGCAGACGCGCTACCGACCAGCCCCGCCGCCCACCCTCGCCGTGCAAGGAAAACCAGCCCCGGGCGGCCTGCGGGAGGCTGGCCCGACACGTGGCGTTGCAAGCGGCGCCCGCACGAGGACC